TTGGTGCCATCATCAATCTTAACACTAATCCTCTGACCCATTAAATTCTTACTCCAAGTTACAGTAATCCAGCAAGATTCTCCAAGCAATCGACATTGATAAACACAAGTCACCACATTCTAGGCAGCTTTATCACTATTAGCATTTGAAGAAGAAAATTCAGCAACTTGAACGCCATTTTTCCCAAAACAAGATGGAAAATCCTTCATATTCATAAAATGAAACTGATTTAACGTACTTAGAAAATCAAGACATAGTAAAAAAGCACAAGTAGCATGGGGGAAGTGGCATACCTTGCTTAATCGACTAAATCTGCTACCAAAGGCTTAATTTGATGTGGGCACGGAGCATTTCGAAATAATCTTGGTACACAAACCCATGCGGTGGAAAATGGCATACCTAATTTTGCTTTGCGACGATCGTCGGCCGGGCCTGGTAATAGGGTGGTGACGGCGACACGAGAGAAGAGATTGACGAGTGGGAGGAGAGGTAGAAAGAGAATGGGTTTAGGGGAAATAAGGTGGGGGAGGGGATTGATAAATTAGGGTCTTACTATAGCACCTAATTTTTGTAAAAATAAACTTCAAACCCGATTTTTAAAAGTTATACCTGATTTTCAAAAAGATCGAAGTAAACCCCTAATTTCATGTAATTTTCCCAAAAATTAAGGGTCAGTGGGGTTGGGTGGGCATTTTTTCAAGGCAAAAAAATGAAGAGTGCAGTGGGAACGCAAAAAATTAATGGACCCTTATGGGTCCGCCTGCCTTAAATCCTTCAAACTACTTGTTTATGTCTTTGACAACTCCATGTATCATGAACTCATTTGATCCTCCACGTAAAGAAGAAATTTGCCGCTGTTCATGGGAAACGTTCAAAAATTTAGAATTTTTGCAGTACCAGCGTCGTTGGAGTGAGGGGTAGGCAAGGCAATGCAAGGCAAGGCAATGCCTCTAAGCTTGAAAAGAAAGCTCATACCACATCTTAAAATGTCATACACGTCTCCCACGATACTTACGTTTGTAATTCAAACAAATTACATGGAATCCCTCCATAGAGATTCAAGAATATATTCTGCATTAAATCTGAATGTGTTCAAGTGGTTAGAGATCTTCTATGTTGACACTAACTACATTCTAATAATTATCTTTCGAAATATTAATTATTAGTATAATTTATGATATACACATTGTTAGATGCAAAACTGGGGAAAGGTGTAAGTGTTATACCCTAGGTCCAATCAACTTTGGACATAAACACTTTAAATATATAATATCGATGCATATGTATGGTAATATCGATTATTTAATTGAATTAATATTTTAATAAATTAAATAATAGAATCCGTAGATTCAAGTCTTGGTGATTTGTTAATCACAAGGAGTTGTGATTGTGAAATACAAATTACATATGACTGAATCTTAAATCGTCCGTGGTCGAGGTACTAACGAGATATGGATATCGTTATTACGG